CCAAGAAGTCTGCAGAAGCTGCCTTGGAGGGATGCTGGGAAGGGCACCTCCAGGAAGCTGGTCCCAGAGAAGGAGCCCAGCATGGCTGAAGCTCAAGGCCTGCTGGCTCCTGACCAGCAGGTGGAGGGTGGAGGGAGCAGTGGAAGCCTGGAGCCGTGAGCCCCTCCTGTAGGGGCACAGCCAGGGAAGCAAACGTGCCCTGCCTCTGGGTTTGCCCCAGGAGCCTCGCTGTGTCCAGCACCCCCCCAGAAACAAGGGAGGGGAAGCGAAGCTTCAAGGGGTTCCGCGTGGAGGAGGCCAATCCTGCCGTGCCCTGGAAGGGATTGGGCCCCTCACCTTCTGTCCTTTTGGAGGCGTCCCTCGCCACTGGAAGCGCTGCCTGTGGTTGCCTGATGCCCCGCGGAGCCCTTCCGCTCAGAAAAGTCGGTGGCAACAGTCTGCCATCTGGGTAGGTGCTGCTTTTTGGGTATCTCAGTCGCCGCATTGCCCTGATAAGGCAAGTAGCCTGGAACTGCGGGCACCTGCTGCCACCCTTGCTGCCCACAGTTGGGCTCTTTTTCTTGAAAGGGTCTGGGGAGCTGCCAGTAGTGAGCAGTAGGGGGCGGTCTTGGGCAGAAGCTGTGTCTGTAGAGGCTGAAGGGGCACTGAAACCTCCCTTGGCAAGCGGAGACCCGGAAGAGCCAGTGGAGCCTCAAGGAAACATCCATCAAGAACGAGAGTTAAGACTGCATTCACTGTATGGAATCAATCTGAATTGGGAATAAAGTGATTCTAGCTTTACTAAACCCCCGTTGCTTCTTCCTGGCCGGTTCCCTCGTTGGACTCTGGCAGCCGTGGGTTCACCAAGCCTTGGATTACTTAGTGCAGCCTTCTGGGCCCATAGGACACGCTGAACCCCGATGAAGCATGCCAGTTGCTTCTGCCAAAACACAAACGATCGGGAGGCCCGCCTAAGACCTGCATTTCAGCCCCCCCCCCCCAGCTCTTGGGGGCCAGGAAGGTCCCTGATTAAAAAGCCAGACCTGAGCTTTCTTCAGACCAGCCTTTGCACCCCCAGCCCACCTCCCCTCTTTGGCGGAAAAGTCCCCACCCCTGCTGGGTTCTCCAAAGTGGGGGGGGGTGCTTTTGCCTCTGGATGTTATCTCAGCTTCCGGTGGGTCCTGTAATCCTTCAAGGGGGGTTGGATAAACACACCAGAGCCGAGTTGTGATTTGTTGCCTGGCTTTGCAATCGCAACCACCCCAGGGGAAGGGTGGGGCAGGGTGTCGGGCACTTCGTGTCCTGCTCGGAATACATTCCTGGAGAGTCCTCCCAAGACATTCTGGATGCTGGTCAACACTTCCAAAGCTCTGGGCTCCCTCAGGCCGCTCAGATGCAAGTCCCACCGTGCTCCCCCTCCCCCCCCAGGTTTGCCTAAAAAAAGCCTCCTGGGGGGCACAAACGCCGGGAGGGGGGGGCTACCGTCATGCAGGTGGGACTGTGAACATTGGGCGGGGGGGGACGACTTGGTTGGTCCCCCCGTCAGACTGAAGCACAGGCGGGCAAGGCAACCGGGTGGCCAAGCCCCGGGCAGAGGGGTGGCCTTCTGGGACCAGCCGCTCGGGCTGAGAACATGGCTGAGCCGAAGATTCCCTGCGAAGGGATGGACCGGCCGGCCTTTCCCCCCAGCCCAGCCGGGAAAGAGGAGCTCTTTGTTTACCGCGATCGCCCGTGGGAGTCGGGCAGCCGGGGAGCGGATCCGAGGGCAGCTCTCCTTGCGTGCCGGAGGCCACGAGCCCCGTCCGGATGGAGGCCTTTGCTCAGAGACCCTTGAAGGAGCAGCGGCAAAGCTCCGGTAGCCTCCATGGGTTGACCGGCGACCGCGGGAGCCTCTTCCTTCAAGAGGCGCCCGACGCCCTTCTACCCACCCTTGGCCCGTCTCTTTCAGGCGGCGGCAACTGCGGGGAAGGGGTCGTCCTGGGGGACGCCGGTGGGCGCGGAAAGAGGGACGCCCGGGAGAAGCTCTTTTCCTTGCCCCCCACGGGGGCTTCTTGCCCTTCCCCGGGAATGAGAGCTCAGCGGCGCCGGGCGGGGACCAAAGACGCCGCTCGGGACTCGGTCGGAACCGTCTGGCGGGCCGATGCGATTCTGGCTCCGCGACTCCGCGGAGCTTCAGTTCACCGGCGGCCTCCAGAGCAGTGGCCTCCCGGGCGAAGGCCGACATACGCGCCCGGCACCGGCCACGATCCAGAGCGGGTCTGAAGGCTCGGACTCAAGAGTTCCGCCGGGAGAAAAGAAGCGACGCCGGCTTGTTGAGGGTCTCCGAGGGAACTCCGCGTGGCCAGCCGTTCCGCGGGCTCCAGCGGGAAGGAGAGCCGCCCCGGACCCCCTCACCGCGCGCGCCCCTCGGCGGGAGACCCCGCTCGACGCCCTCTTGCCCACCTCGCCACCTTGGCTTGGCGGCGCGCCGCCCGATTGGCCGAGACGCGGCGGCTGGCAAGGCGCCGGGGCCAATCAGCGCCGCCTCGCTCCCCCTCCCCGCTTCGAGATATAAAAGAGGCGGCGCTGCGCCGGGTACGAAGCAAGAGAAGCGTCGCCGCCGCGTTCGCAGCCGTGCATCGCCGGCCGGATCCAGCCGGGCAGCCAGGTGAGCGCACGGGGCGGCCGCCGGCCCTGCTGTGGGGCGAGTTCGGGAGGGAGTTGCTTGGCTTCCCTACGCGGGGAAGGCGAATCTCTGTAGGGCCTCTGCTCCCCCCGCATATCCCAGCCGGCCTCCGGGACTCCCGTTGCCCCGGTTGCCGCCGCCGCCGCCTTCTCCTTGCGCCCGCCTGGGAGGCTGGGAGAGAAACCCCCGAACTTCGCGCTCTTATTCTCGACACCCAGGGAGCAAACAGAGATCTAAGGCGGGTGAAACCCCCCCCCTATGTGTTGGTTTCCAGAGCCCCCCCCCCTCCTGCCCCAACTGGCCTGGTCTTTGGCGAGGGGCTCTGCGCGGTTTCCCAGCCCCCTCCAGTGCGAGGTCAGCCGCCGGAGAGCGGCCAGGTCCTTGCTAGCCCACTTCCATCCTAAGTTGTCTTATGACGCCCTCTGAGCCCCCACCCCAAGGTTTCCAGGCCTTGGGTATTTAGGAACAAGGCCTCTAAATCGGGAGGGTCGGTTGATGGATTGTGTCCAAGCCGTCCTATGATGGAGCCCGTCCTTCCCCTTCTGCCCTTCTCCTTGTGTCCCCCCCTCCTCTTATGCTGCCATTCTCCCGGCTTTGGTACCCCACCCCTCGTGGGGCAGTTGCAATTTCCAGCTCAAGCTGCCCAGAGGCCTCTAGCAGGAGGTTCGGGTCAGTTAACTCTCGGTTCCTTTCCTGCTTCCCTGTTTCGGGTCCCTCTGGGACTCCCCCACTTCTGCTTTTCTCCTGAGTCTTAAGTAGGCGAGCCAGGCAGCTAGTTGAGGGATCCTTCGCCCATTCCCAGACAGCCGCTCCCTATTTCATTCTTTCCGCTCTCCCCCAAAACCGTTGCTAGCTGGGAAGAGCAGGCCAGCCCATTGAGGAAATTCTCACCCCCACCCTGCTCAGACCCCCACCCCCACCCACGGAGTCGATCCCTTTGGGGTTGTTCTTCCCAGGGGCTTCCCTCTTTGTCCCCGGAGACAGCCTGGCCATCTTTTCTTCTGCTCCCTTGAATACTTTGGCACCACTAAGCCTCTCCTCCCCATTGGCTGCCTCTGCATCATTCAGATTTCCCTCCATTGTCCGGGCCCTTGCCCCCCCCTTCCTCTGGTTGAGCCATGTTACTGACCTGTCATGCTGACCTCATCCTCTTATCCCAAGGCTGATAAGTTTATCCAGCACTTTGGAGAAGTCCCGATAAAATAAATCAAGCGTTTGGGCCCTTATCTTGCTGCTGCTTGATCCAATCTCTGCCAGCTGAGCTTCCCTCCTCCCAGCACCCGCTGGGCCCTTCAGGGATCCCTTTGCAGGGACCCTCCGCTGGCAGGGAGCTGCCTGGATCTCTTCCCTCATCAATGGCCTCTGAGCACAAACATTTTGGGACTCTTGGAGAAGAAATGGGAGTTAGGGAGCAGGGCAGTAGGACTCGGTGGACGCCAGGACAAATTTCCTAGCAGAGGGGGCCAAGAACGGGCCTGGCTGCTTGGGGGAGGGGGGATTCTGCTGGGAGCACTGAAGCAGAGACTGGAGGACCAGCTGCTGGGGGATTTGTAGGAGGGACTAGGTGATCTCTGAGTTCCTTTTCTGCCCTGGGGCATTTATGTTTTTTTAAGCTGCGTCTTCTAGAACCTTCAGGAGGGGCGGGGGGGATTGCTGGAGCTACGGGAGGAGGCAGCAGTGTCTGTCTGCAGAGGAAGGGAGCCCGCGAAGAAAAAGGGGCTCAAGAAAGCGCCTTGTGTGCCAACAGATTGGAAGACCCTCCTGGTGAAGAAGAGCCCCCCGCCGGTTGCCGCCCACCATCATGGCTCCCACTCTCGCCACGGCCCACCGGCGTCGCTGGTGGATGGCCTGCACGGCCGTTGTGGAGAACCTCTTCTTCTCTGCCGTCCTCTTGGGCTGGGGATCCCTCCTGATCATGCTCAAGTCGGAGGGCTTCTACTCCTACCTGTGCCCCCTCCCAGGTAAGAAGCACCTTGGCCCAGCCCTCCTGAGCACCGGGCCTTGGCTCCTCAGGCTCCACGGGTGGTCTCTGGTCAAGCCAACCCCTCCCGGCCGGCGCAATCTGGCCTATCTGCGCCACCTCCAGCCGCTTAGTGGAGAAGGGGCTCTGAGGGGGGGCATCTCTTGCAGTCCGGATGGGAGGGGTCTGCTTTTTGGGGAGGGGGTCCTGGAGCCCGTCTCTTCTTCCTGCCCGCCATGGTCTTGGCTGCTTCTAAGTGATCCCGGGTACTCGGCTTTTGGACTGGGAAGGGCCAGGACAGCCTTTGGACCCTCCCCATAAATCCTTTTCCTTCTTGGAAGTCTTGGCTGTCTGTTCCAAAGATATCAGCCACACCTGGCAGAGTTGGGGAGGGGTGGGGAGGGAGCTCTTGCCTCTGTCTCCATTCCTCCTTGCCCTCCCCTCCCCGATCAGCCCTTTGGACCCGGTCAATCTTTTACAGGGTCTGAACAGGCGGAGGAGGCCTTGATAAAAAGCTGCCGTGGCAGAGATTTCATCCTAGAGGGAAGGCGATAAGATCCTGCAGAACCAGCTGATTCTCGGCTGGCAGGAGAGGGCGGCTGGGGACTTGGTCCCTGGACTGATGGGGAATGAGCGGGGTTGTGCAGCATCAGGGCTGCGGGTGGGGGAGGGAAGAAGACCCTCGGGTGAGAGCCAACGGCAGCTGCCCTCAGTACCAGCTAGGGCCGCTGTGCCCTTCCCGCAGCCATGCCTGGGTCGTTGCGTGTTCCCGTGCACCGCAGTTTGACCCAGGGTGCAACCCAGGGAAACCCCACAGACGCCACGCCTCTGCTTAGCCCCCATAATCAAGGCCCCCCCACGCAGCAAAGCAGAGGGCCCCCCACTCTTTTCCCAGGCCTGTCCAGGGTGAGCAAGGGAGTTTTCAGAAGGGAGCGCTGGGAGCTAGGCTGCTCTCCCCTGCAAGGGAAGGAGGAGGGCCTCGACTGCGGCCCCCCCCTCTTCCTTTCTCCCTGCAGCAGCCCTGAGCCAGAGGACTTCCTTCCATTGCTGACAAGCAAAACAGCCTCCACCCACCCACCCACCCTATCTTGTGCGGGGGGGTGGATTAGCGAGAAGCGTCTCCTTCTCAGCTGGGGGCTCTCTGCCAGGGACCGAACTTT